TTTGTCCGAGATAGTGTAAACTTTATTTTAAATTTCACGTTCGAGGTGGTGTAAACTCTGTTTTTTGCATAGTTACTCAGTAATTACCTTGTTACTGTTCTTTTAAATTTTTGGGGGGATACGTAAAAACGATCCAATTTTTTGGGTTATTTATCTGGATTCAGCTCCACGTGCATCTAGATGTACGTGGAACTGAATCTAGATAAATAACCCAAAAAATTGGGTAGTTTTTCTTGGGACCAGATTTTTAGGAAAAGTTCGTCTACCTAAAATGAAGGACTGACGTTGAATTATTAGAATACCATCCTTAGAGAAATAGAAAATTCGAGAAACAGTATTTCCATGTTTGAATATTTTTCATTTGTTTGTGTCGAACGACTGTGAAATTTATTTTACGGTATCTCTCTGCGAAGTTAGAAAGTTGAACCTCGGTAAATTTCAAAACATTTCACCACCTATGGTCAAGACAATCATTTTACATAAGATGTTTTGAATGTTATTATTTAGTTTTCATTCGATTATTCATACTGGTATGAAATCTGTTTAAAAGTATAGAACAGATGTATACGGTTATTTCTTAAGGTCACATGATGGTTTTACTGAATTAAGTACTGGTATACTAGCAGTCAAAGATGATTCACAGTATGCATCGCAACAAAAAGTGTTCGATGATCTAGGACGGGATGTGATAAACAATGCTTTCGCAGGTTTGCACTCTTTTTCTTTGAATATAGATGCTGCTTCCAAAATCAAGGAAGCGCGAATCATCGTGCAAATCGAACTCTTTAACTTAAAATTGAATTCGTCAAAAAATTCGAAGAACTGCAAACTTATCAAGACAATAAGGCGATCTTCTGTCGAGTAGACGTAGTCAGATTAAATATTGTAAGATCTTGTTTATTTATGACGTCCATTTTTATTTTAGGTTTCAACTGTTGTCTATTCGCTTATGGTCAAACAGGAAGTGGAAAAAGTTACTCTATGATTGGTTATGGAGTTAATCGGTGAGACCTTTACCATTAGTTTATTTGGACTAAAATATCTTTCATTTTTAGTGGAATAGTACCAATAGCATGTGATGAATTATTCAAAAGTATTAGAGAGAATCAGGATAAAAAAACTGTACGTTTGGATAACTTCTATCAATTTTTTTGAAATAATCCTTTACTCTTGTTGATATAGCGTTTTGAAGTTACCCTTTCGATGTTAGAAATATATAATGAACAAGTACGAGATTTATTAACGAAAGATTCTCCAAAAGGTGGTCTTAATGTAAGACAAAATCAAACATCCGGTTACTTTTATGCTCAAGGACTTCGGTGTACACCTGTTGGTAGTTATTCAGATATTGAAAAGCGTATCATTGAAGGAACAGAAAATCGAACTATAGCTGCTACGAACATGAATGCCACAAGTAGTCGTGCTCATACGGTGGTAACAATAACATTTGATCAAATTTTAATAACAGATTTGGGTGAAACAAAAAAAACAAGCGTCATTAACTTAGTGGATTTAGCCGGTTTGTTATACAAGAAAAATGAAACATTAAATTTTTTTAAATACTTTTTATTATTTCAGGATCTGAGCGAGCAAGTGCTACCGGTGCCACTGGTGATAGATTGAAAGAAGGTGCTAACATTAACAAGTCTTTATCGGCTCTAGGAAATGTTATTTCGGTATTTACAGTATAACTTCTTTAATTATGTATGAAATGTTTAAAAAATCCTTCATTCTTAGGCATTAGCTGATTTGTCTTCTGGTTCAAAACGAAAAATTGTTGTTCCCTACCGTGATTCAGTACTCACCAAACTATTACAGAATGCACTTGGTGGAAACAGGTAAGTCAAAATATCTCTTATTTCTTCAACATTTTACAATGATGATTCTTATTTTAGTAAAACTGTAATGATTGCTGCTTTATCACCAGCCGATATTAATTATGATGAAACATTATCAACACTTCGTTATGCTGATCGAGCAAAGCGTATTAAAAATACCGTTATTATTAATGAAAATCCGGTGGAAAAACTCGTTCGTGAATTAAAAGTAAGAAAATTGATAGAAAAATGATATAAATACTAGTATATCGTTATTAATTTTAACAGGAAGAAAATGTTCGATTAAAATTACTAATTGATACGGGAAAATATAATTTTAACATTGATCCAGGACTCGGTGCTACAAGCCAAGATGTTGAGAAAATTCGAAAAGATTTAGAGGCTGAAATTCATGCCCAAATTCGTATGAATCAACAAATATTACTAGATACAAAAACACCATGGGAAACAAAGGTGAACTCTAGATTATTTAATTTTTCATCTTCTATTATTTTCTGAAATGTTTTTTAGTTAAAAAATGCTCGTTCTGATAGTGGAATACGAACATCTTCAGCTGATAAAAAATTACCATACTTAACAAACTTAAATGAAGATCCAATGTTATCATATGTGATATGCTATTATTTGAAACTGGGTGAAACAACTATTGGTAGTAAACAATCGACAATTTGTTTAAATGGACTTGGAATACAAGAAAAACATGCTGTGATTAAATTTTCCAGTTTTGATCAAATTACCATTGAAGCAGCCTCACCGGGAGCTACAATCAAAGTTAATGGCTACAATCTGAAAGGGTAGGATGAGTTTGATTCCTTATACAATAAACTAATTTTCTTTTTTATCATTTTCGATTAGTTCTACTCAGCTCGAACACAAAGATCGACTCATGTTTGGTAGATATAGTCATCTATATAATATATGAATTAGTTCGCTTATCGAATGACTATTTTTTCAGGTGCCAGTCATATTTATGTTTTTATGAATCCATTTCAAACGAAATCCATCAATTCAGATATACCTTCTATAATTACGTGGGACTATGCTCAAAAAGAAGTTGCTCGAGCTAAAGGTTACAATACGAGTATCGGAAATCTAACAAAAGGTATGCACACTATTCACACATAAATAGAATTGAATTGTTCTAATTAATAATATATGTTTTGTGTTAAAAGAACAAGAAGAAACTCAAGAAAAAGTATTGAATTTATTACCGACACTCTCGGAAGTAAATGTTATAGCTGAAGAATTGAATAAATATCGTACATTTGAAATAGTTGTAATGCCCACTGCTTCATGGGAAGGAATCAATGTGAAAGGATCAAAGTAATATACAGTAAACTTTTGAAGAGAAAACTTAGATCTACATTCATCTCTTTTCATTTCTATTCCAGAGTATTGATAAAAATGAGAAATTTATTAAATCAGAATGCATGGTTTTGGGATGATATTAAATTTATGAACAGAAATTATATAATAAAAGTTAGTTTTAACTTATATCTCATTTAGAATTAGAGATATTTTTATATTTATTAAAGTGAAATAGCTTAAAAATTTTTATAAATGTTAAGCTATTTATTTGCCATCTTAAACTTTCGACTGTTAGTGAAAGGCATGTAGATAATATGTTTTACATCCGAATACTGGGGTAGCATAATTCATGCAATATGTTGCTTACGTTTTTCACTAGAAAAGTTTGAATTTTTGAAACATTTGCAGTACTGTGATAATTTCGAAGACTTTTAAAAATTAGAAGGCATTTTTTTGCCTAAATCATACGAGAAACGGTTACAGCTTAATTTTCTTTTTTGTCCCTTTTTTTCTTTTTGACCCGTATGGCTTATAAAAGAGATTAAATCTAAACTTTATCCGAAGAAAACTGCGAGTGAATAATATCCACTTTTCAGTATATCATGCACAACTTTTTTAGCAAAAAATAGAGATATAGAACATCATAAACGGTAGAACCTATAAGATTAATGAATGAGATCAAAACAGACGATAAGAAGGCAACCGAAGTCAACAAATTCTTACATACTTGTTTTTGGTATCACAGCTTATAGTTTTTGGGACGATACATTTGGGAAAAGATACAGCTATGTTACGTTATTCTTTTTTCCCAAAGCTATCTTTTCCAGTACAAATCAAAAAAACTTAAAGATCACAAAAAAATCCTCCAAAATCAGTAAAAGTTTAGAATAATTTAGAAGCATTGACAACTAAATTTTCTCACTGAATACGGATACGAATACTGTTCTTATCATTCTCATCTATTGTATATTTAGTGAGAAAATTTTATTAAAATTGCTGAAAATCAAGGCCTTGAATTAAATTTGGAAAGTTTTTTGGTCAACAACTTCGTCAAATAAATATTTTTGGATAAAATGACCGAGCACTTGACAATATTCTCTCGTCAAACTACATTTAGTTTACGAATGACATTGTATTGCTGTTTTTCTGTCGATTAATTCTTGTTTTGATGTACTGATCATTTTGATATTTTTAGCAATCTTGGTTAACTTTTCTTACATACCCCATCCGATCGGAAACTGTTCCAGCTACTTAAATTATTTTTCGGATTTCTTTCAGTGTATAGCTATAACGGTCGAGAACGAATAAAGATTATAATAATTTGGAGATTCGCTCTATGTATGAAAATCTCTTTACATCAAGTTTCTGAAGAAAAAAAAAGTGAGACGAGTTTGAAAAAATAAAATGATAAATCTTTCAAAAAAGCTTTTTTAAGTTCAACAAAACTCAGTGTGAAGTTTAGTTTTCTTTCCAGAATATTTAGAAAGTATTTGTGTTAGTAATACAGTAGTTGTATTTTCAGTTTGTTTAGATGGTTTTTCGTCGCCGTGTCTTATCTTGAATATAGATGATAATACGGCTACGTCTCAAAAGAGATACTTTTTTTCGTTAACTCACACTCAGTTTCACCGCCCCGCTTCTGATGTTGTTTGATCTTGCAAAGTCAATTAGGACAGCTTTGTATCTCTTTTGAGAAGTTACGGATAATACAGCTAACTGCTCTCATCAATTAATATCAGTTATAGTTTTCCTTACTTTCTTAACTGAAAAAATTAGCAAAGTCTTCCAAATTTACACAGTACTGTACATCATTTTAAGATGAGATCAATTACATCAAAAAAATGAGTATTAATGTAATCTAGAAGTGTCAAAAATACAACTTCGAACGGAATAAATTTTTTCTACAATTTTGTAGGATCATTATCAAAAATTTCTGGATGGCGAAGAAGATATATTGTATATCAAGAAAGAAGATGGTAGATGTTACTAACAAAGCATATGTACATTACTTAATTACTTTATTCTTAGATCCATTTTGGGAACCTGTCGAAGATCTTCTACTTGGAACTGCCAATGTTTTCCTACAAAGTTTGGCATATTCACTTGATTTCGATGATGAAATATGTATTGTGGACTATAAAGTAAAAGATATATATTTTTTGTTTTAACTAATTTTCTCGTACTAATAATTATTAGGGATTAGAACAAGGTCGATTAGGAATTACTCTGTCACCATGTGCAGCGAATGGTAAACCTATAATCGAAGAACAATTTGTTGATCAACCAGAGGAATTACTTAATAAACCGTATAGTTTTAAATTAGTTATGCGTCATATTGAAATAAACGATGAAAAATATAGCAAAGGTGTAAGAATACGGTATAGACTATTTAATGAACAAGAGTTCACGAACACTGATGTAATTGGAAAACAAACTATGTTTGCAAATATTAAACAAACAAGAATAATCACAGTTCCCAGTGTTGATCATGTAATATTATAAATATTTTAATAATCTAAAACATTCTAAACTCCTAGTTTTTATTGTAGAATTGGCTTAATTTTTTTGAAAATGGATGTATTATATTTCAAATATATGCTGTTCAAGAAGAATCAAAACCCGATCATCGTCTATTTAAAATGACAACAAAAGAATTAAAAATAATGGAACAAAAACAAGAAGAATCAAACGTATTAGTACAAACAAATACCATGTTACCCGGTGATTCAAAATTAAAATCAGAATTAACTTTGTTACAGCGTAAATTGAACAGACTAGAACAAAAAGAAAAATGCATGCAAGTAAATTAGCATATATAAGTATACTATTAAACAATTATCACACTAAGGATATTTAATTTTGAATTTAAGATTCTTTGTCGAGATTGGGATACTAAGTCGTTGAATGGACATAACTATCACAAATTTTATAAACAAATGTCAGCCATTGCATTCAGCTCTGGTACAAAACTCAAGACAAAGGCAGCAATAAGTGGAAAAGTATATACAAATTCATCTGTATCACATATTCAAATCAAGATCTCTTATTTAAATACAAAACAACAATCTAGAGACATCTTAAAGTTCTAAAATAGACATAGTAAAATGCTCAATTTTACGAGATGCAACATTAAAATTTCTTTTCCTAAGATATAGAAGCTAAATAGAAGGTTTTTATTTCAATTTGCATTCTTTAATGATTTATTTTAGGGCAAAAATGACGATGATATTGAAATATATTTATTTGGTTCAGATGAACAAGACTATTTGCACGATATTGAACATCAAAATACTGATAAACTGAAATATGTAAGAGAAAATGTGTTATTGTTCACCCTCTTAGTATTTCATTCATAATTTTTTTCTCCTACGTCCACAGAATGCACGGATTTTTTTCAAAAGATAATATTCTGATTAAGAGTTATGCGAGTTTCACCGGAAGCCCTAAAACATGCATCAGATACCGCCGCCACTATATCTCGAAAGCGATTTTCACCTTAACACCATTTCGTAGGTGCAAGATTTCTCGGTAACGAAACATCGCAGAGAGCTCGGAAATATAGCTCGGGTTATAAATTGAAGCTGACACATGTGACTCGAGGCTAATAGAGTCTGATTTTTTATATTCGCCCTAGGTTTGCGGACAGAAAAATATCTTTATGCAAGTTAATGAGACTTTTTCGAATTTTGGACTTTCGACGCTTATCATTAAGCGTTTTATTACAAAATGTACTTGACTTGACTTTTATTTCGAAACAAAGAGAAACAGTACTTTTTGTCGTCTGCGAATTCAAACTATATTTTGAGATAAAGATAAAGCCATTAAATTGCATCAGACTATATGTTATTTAATGCTGCAAAAGTGCTGGTATGTAACAGATATATTTTAAGTCTTACGGCAAAGAGAGTAACATTATTGAAATATGGAAATTTAAGTTCATAAGTTTCTTTCTTCATCTTTGTAGTGGGAAGAATATCATCGGAAAACATCACTGAAACAACGGCGATCGTCTGTCGCATTTCGAAATACGTCAAGACTTCCATTACTACCGACCGTATCTCCAAAACCGGATATACTTCCGTCACAACAAAATGGCAATCTATTGTCAATTGTTAATGATAAAAATTTGCTCAATAGTTCTGCATCAGTGAAAGATATCAAATCAACTCAGCAACAACAAGACCAAAATGATATAGAAATGTCAATGAATGATTCAAATGCCAACTTAAAAACAAATTCTTTATTATTCAACACAAAAAATTCAGTATCATGTTCGATTCAGTAACATTAAATGATTCTCAACAAAAGTTTTCCACACGCTTGCATACGTAAAGGACTTCTCGTTGTGCTCACTGATCACTGAAATAATCAAAACTGCTGTGTAAACTCTAAATCATCTTTTTGAAATAAAAGAGCTTTATTTTCTTATATATAAAACTTACTTTGAAGTAATGAACGCTTGTAGGGAGCTTTGACCAAAACTAACTAAGTACATCGTATACCAGCTTGTTTTTTTCTTCTGTTTGTCTCTGAAACTGTACGGTAATTGATTCGAAATTAGCTTTTCGTGCGAATGAGAAGTATATTTCTGGAAGAGCCGATCAGAATCTATCTGATTTAATAAAAGAAGGTTCGATTGATGGATGGATTTTAGAAGGAAGAGTTCTCAAACATCTCGTGATTTCTAACGTATTTGTAATCACACATTCAAACGAAAATCGATGAAAACTAATTACAGTAGGTAACTTTCTGCCGGATTAATGTATTATATTTATTCCCACATTCATAAACATGTTTCATGCTATTTTATAGTTACATCTGGCTAGTCACTTAAAGGATGAACGTTTTTCGTTAAACATCAATTATTTTAGCGCTATAATATAAATATTGTTTGATCTACGGGTGTATCCATGTACCAATCCAAGCCTACTGCGATATACAGAAGTGTTGATGCGAGCATTCTCTCCTACCTCATCTGACAAACCATGGAAAATGATGGATTTTGGAGAAAACCGCAGGTCTCTACCTAA